ATAGATTGCACAGCTATATATATATATAGCTGTGCAATCTATTGTTAATAAAATGAAAGGCTGATCCTTTGTGGCCTATCCTAATTAGCTACATACCACAGAGATCCTGATCAGGGAGCATGAATAATGGAATAGGAGAAATGGGAACAGTGTTAAAAAATTAGCAGCCTTGTCTACACACAAAAGTTGTACTGTTTTAACTATACTAGTACAACTCTCAGTGGAGACAGTTATACCAGTATAAATATGCTTATAACAGTATACTTTATTCCCATACAGGAAGGGGCATAAATGATACTGTCATAAGGCAGCTTTTTACTGGTATAACTGTGTCCATACTAGGGGTTGTACTGGTATAGTTATAATATTAGTATAAAAAATATCAGACCCTTAACTGACATAGTTATACCAATACAAAAACTGTGGGTAGACCAGGCCTAGTGGTATCAGGAATAAAGTTGACTTAATTAATGAAGGGTGATGAATGGCAGCACAGCTGTTCTCCCTTTTTGTTTTTATACTATCTTACATGATCTGTATCATGTTTTACAAGCAAAGGGTGTGGGAATTCCACAAATTTCAATGTATGGCATGTTCCTCACATTGTTTCCATCCCCAGCAAGCAAGAATGGTGGGTGGACAAGGGCTATATCGATAGAAACAATGAAAAGAATTTTTGTATGTGGAATAGTCTATCTGGTCTGTCACTGTGAAAGATAGGGTGGGCTAGTGGTCCCTCTGAACAACAGGATTAGAAACCAGAAGCTTGTGTATTCTAATCTCAGCTCTGTGTGTAACTCTTGCTCCATGTGAACTTTGGCAAATTACTTAACTTCTCTTCCTCACTTTTCTAACTCTAAAATTAATCTCTTGTGTGGCTAAGGGTTCACTGTTCTTTCCAAGCAACCCCTGTCTCAGAGCCGACAATTCACTATACCTAATACACCACTATACCTAAACACCATGGTATTTATCTATGATGGGTACTGAAAGATTGTAACTTATCAATACTCACAATCATTGTGAGATGTGTGTATGGATAATATTTCAGGAATAATGTAACTATATTGAAAACTATGCCTTATTATGCCTTGAAGTAAAAGTTAGTCACCAGGGAATTGTATGACTCAGCAACGATTCAAGTGGGAGGCAATTGCCACCCCTCCCAGGTCAGCCAGTGATGTAGTGCATGGTTCAACTACTCTTGCCCAATCCCAGAACAGTCAATGGAAAACCAGCAAAGACAACTGCAAACAATCAAAACCTCTTGGAGGGGAAAGGCATATTATAACAGAGAGGGGATCAACTGGTCTGCGAATAAAGACAAAAGACTGAATCATATATAACACTGTGGAGAAAGACACTCTTCATCCATTTACTGAGTGAGGTGACATCTTGTTGAGTGGGGGTGTTTCATGAAAGATTGGATTCCTAGTTCCTGTCCCCTTGGGAACAGACTGAACTTTGGAGAGGAAACTTACCTTACTGGCTAAGAAAGGTGGCTATTAATAAGTGTAGGCCCTAGTTCATGTTTTATTATTTCATTTTATATAGTAACCATTTATTTCCATCACTCTCTCTTGTTTCTAGTGGAACCACCATTTTTACTTAAACCTTCCTTAGTTTTATTATAAGTGCTGTGTATCATATAGGAGTGGTGATCTAAGGTTCACCTGGTGAACTGGGGTACACTGTTTCTTTGGGAGCAGGGGATCTGGACTCCTTGATGTAGCCAGTGACACGGGCTGGATATCACAGTGGGACTCAGGTTCCAGGGGACTCAGGGACTGGGGTGCACCTCTTGTTAACTTGCAAGGCAATGTTAGGGCTGGCATAGGCCAGAACAGAGTGTTTGAGTGGCTGACAGGCTGATGGTATCAGGGAGCTAACACCAATCTGCCACAGGCAAGATTTCCTCTTGGTAGAGGCAGGGGGTAAAAAGGTGACTCACCGTCCTAGGTACCTCAAGAACCATTAGAGATGGTTAATTAGTTTGTTCAGTATATTGAAGCTATACAATGCATAACAGCTCTAAGTGTTATAATTGTTGTACGCAGTGTAGCTATGTGAGTCCCGGGATATTAGAGAGACAGGGTGGGTGAGGTTGGTCCAATAAAAGATATTACCTCACCCACTGTATCTAAGTATTAGATACGGTATTGTTGGGGACAACTTCCGGGAGTGCAGGAGGAACCAACTAGGGGCCTGCTCCTCTTGACCTGCTGCTCACAAACAGGGAAGAATTGGTAGGGGAAGAAGAAGTGGGTGGCAACCTGGGCAGCAGTGACCATGAGATGGTCGAGTTCAGGATCCTGACAAAAGGAAGAAAGGAGAGCAGCAGAATACGGACCCTGGACTTCAGAAAAGCAGACTTGAACTCCCTCAGGGAACTGATAGGCAGGACCCCCTTGGAGGCTAATATGAGGGGGAAAGGAGTCCAGGAGAGCTGGCTATATTTTAAAGAAGCCTTATTGAAGGTGCAGGAACAAACCATCCCGAAGTATAGAAAGAATAGCAAATATGGCAGGTGACCAGCTTGGCTTAACAGAGAAATCTTCGGTGAGCTTAAACACAAAAAGGAAGCTTACAAGAAGTGGAAACTTGGACAGATGACTAGGGAGGAGTATAAAAATATTGCTCGAGCATGCAGGGGTGTAATCAGGATGGCCAGAGCACAACTCAAGTTGCAGCTAGCAAGGAATGTGAAAGGTAACAAGAAGGGTTTCTACAGGAATGTTAGCAACAAAAAGGTTAGGAAAAGTGTGGGACCATTACTGAATGGGGGAGGCAATCTAGTGACATATGACGTGGAAAAAGCTGAAGTACTCAATGCTTTTTTTGCCTTGATCTTCACAGACAGAGTCAACTCCCAGATTGCTGCACTGGGCAGCACAGTATGGGGAGGAGGTGAGCAGCCTTCAATGGTGAAAGAACAGGTTAAGGACTATTTAGAAAAGCTGGACATGCACAAGTCCATGGGGCCAGATCTAATGTATCCATGGGTCCTGAGGGAATGGCTGATGCGATTGCAGAGCCATTGGCCATTATCTTTGAAAACTCCTGGTGACTGGGGGAGGTCCCAGCCGATTGGAAAAAGGCAAATATAGTGCCCATCTTTAGAAAAGGGAAGAAGGAGAATCTGGGGAACTACAGACCAGTCAGCCTCATCTCCGTCCCTGGAAAAATCATGGTGTAGGTCCTCAAGGAATCCATTTTCAAGCACTTGGAGGAGAGGAAGGCGATGAGGAACAATTAACATGGATTCACCAAGGGCATCTGATTGCCTTCTATGATGAGATAACTGGCTCTGTGGATATGGGGAAAGTGGTGGACGTGATATATCTTGACTTTAGCAAAGCTTTTGATACGGTCTCCCACAGTATTCTTGCCAGCAAATTAAAAAAGTATGGATTAGTTGAATGGACTATAAAGTGGATAGAAAGCTGACTAGATCGTTGGGCTCAGCCAGTAGTGATCAACGGCTCGATGTCTAGTTGGCGGCCGGTATCAAGCGGAGTGCCCCAGGGGTCTGTCCTGGGGCTGGTTTTGTTCAACAACTTCATTAATGATCTGGATGATGGGATGGATTGCACCCTCAGCAAGTTTGTGGATGGCACTAAGCTGGGGGAGAGGTAGATACGCTGGAGGGTAGGGATAGGGTCCAGAGTGACCTACACAAATTGGAGGATTGGGCTAAAAGAAATCTGATGAGGTTCAACAAGGACAAGTGCAGAGTCCTGCACTTAGGATAGATGAAGCCCGTGCACTGCTACAGGCTGTAGAAAAGGACCTGGGGATTACAGTGGACGAGAAGCTGGATATAAGTCAACAGTGTGCCCTTGTTGCCAAGGCTAATGGCATATTGGGCTGCATTTTTAGGAGCATTGCCAGTAGATCGAGGGAAGTGATTATTCCCCTCTATTCGGCACTGGTGAGGCCACATCTGGCGTATTGTGTCCAGTTTTGGGCCCCATCCTGCTACAGAAAGGATGTGGACAAATTGGGGTCCAGCGGAGGGCAATGAAAATTATTAGGGGGTTGGGGCACATGACTTATGAGGCGAAGCTGAGGGAACTGGGCTTATTTAGTCTTCAGAAAAAAAGAGTGAGGGGGGATTTGATAGCAGCCTTCAACTACCTCAAGGCAGGTTCCAAAGAGGATGGAGCTTGGCTGCTCTCAGAGGTGGCAGATGACAGAAGAAAGAGCAATGGTCTCAAGTTGCAGTGGGAGAGATCTAGGTTGGATATTAGGAAAAACTATTTCACTAGGAGGGTGGTGAAGCACTGGGATGAGTTATCTAGGGAGGTGGTGAAATCTCTTTCCTTAGAGGTTTTTAAGGCCAGGCTTGTCCAAGCCTGTCTGGGATGATTTAGTTGGGTTGGTCCTCCTTTGAGCAGGGGGTTGGACTAGATGACCTCCTGAGGTCTCTTCCAACCCTAATCTTCTCTGATTCTATGAACTTATTCATAACAATTGTTCCTTTGAGTAGGAACTGCTCCTATATGTATAGTCTTTTGTTTTCTGTTATATACCTTCAAAAGATTCTTGTGGGGGAATGTACAGTGGCCTCCACATTATTGGCTTCTACACCACTCTCCTTTGCAATGAGTTGCCAGCCTGTCTCCCTGATCTATTGATTCCCTCCAAACAGAAGCCCAATTCTCTGAACATATCTGGAGTCACCCAAGCGGTTCAGATAATTGCAATTTGAAAACCTTCTGCAGGACATAGAAGTGGTCAGAACATGGTAGGGGGAACGGGCGCCTGTGCAAACGGTGTCACCATGTCGACACAATCTTCCTCCCATTTGAAACATTTCAGCAGCCGTATCTCCGGCTCCGGGTGGGTGCTGAAATCTCTCAGGGAGATGGGCGCCCCGGCCAGACACAGGCACTCCTAGGCCAGGCCAGGCTGCCAGGGGCGCAGAACCCGCAGACACAGGCAGCGCGCGCGCGCGCGCGGAAAACTGCCTGGCTCGCTCCCCTCGCAGCAGCACGTGCCTCGTAGCCCCTCCCGGTGGCCGGACTCTAGCCTTCCCGGCATGCCCTGCGCTTACCATCGAGTGCTGCGCGGGTGGCGTCGGCGTGGGGAGCGGGGCGGTCCCGCTGGCCTCTCCGTCTCTGTCAGGCCGCGGCAACATGGCGGGCGCGGAGCAGGGGGCGAGCCCGGAGCAGGCGGAGAAGCACCTGAACGGGGAGCTGCTGCTGGAGCCTGAGGACGCGGAGGGCGGCGCGGCGGGGCCCGGCGCCGAGGAAGGCGCCAAGAAGAAGCGGCGGAAAAAGAAGAAGAGCAAAACCGCCTCCGCGGGTAGGGGCCCGGAGCGGGGCCTGGAGACCCTCCCGCGGGCAGGGAGGGGAGCCGGGCACAGCCCCCGCGGCGGCGGGCGGCGGCTCGGTGAGGGGTCGTGGCGGGCTGGCGTTAGTGTGGATGGGACTGGGGAGAACCTCCTAGGGGGCGGCTGTGACAGGAGCTCGGGAGTGAAGCCGCCGTGGCGGTGGGGGTGGCGGGGACGCGTGAAGCGGCTTTGGGGGTCAGTCTGTGGGTGGGGGAACGGTGCGAGAAGCGGTCGTGGAGGCGGGGGTTGGTGTGTGTGTGTGTAGCTGTGGTGGGACGTGGGGGCAAGTCTCTCCTTGACTTGGGAGGTGGTTCTGTGAGTGTGGATGCCATTGGGACGGGGAAATCTGCCGTGGGGTCAGTCTGCCAGTGGGGAGCCACGACGAGACTGATATTGTAATTGGCTAGTATCTTTGTGGCCTTGCTGTTGTTTCCCTCACTGTCTGCTCCTGTTGCTTGTCTTTGAGGCAGGTGATGTGAGGTGCCTGAAGATCATTCAGAATAGTGGTTAAGATGGAAAGAGTCGTAACATTGGCACAGGGACTGTTGGTTGCTCATACATTTGTGTGAAAGAAAGTTCCTCTATGTTTCAGCTCACAGCCTGTTTCAGGGACCGTTTGCGGGGAGATTGTGTATGCTGCTTTGTACACAGCAATATCCACCCCTATGGCCAGAGATAAAGAGCATAATTTTGTTGCCTTAAAGTTTATCCCACAGGAGGGAGCCATTCCCGCTAACCTCCCAAACATTGTACATAGAGATCTGAGGTGAGTCTGTGCAAATAGTGTAAGGAAAGCACAATTTGAGACTCTTTTAACAGGCTAGGAGTTAGAGTTGACGATACTTCGTGTTAATCATTATTTTCATAACACTGGTGTTATCTCCCTGGAGCAGGCTGGTGCTAGGAACAGCAGAGTTATACAGACAGAAAAGAACTGTAGTTATTTGACTATTGGATAATCTTACCTTTATGTGCAGGTTTTTATAATGGCTCCTGTCACCATAGTACCTAACAGTTGTTGTTACATGTTCCCTACTTTAGAAAAGGTGAGAAGTGCTCTGATATCTTCATAATGAGGGCGGTAAAAATATTTAGATAATTTTTCCAGGTTTTTATATCACAATTCAGAGCCATTTTATTTTGGTAAATCACACTCTATTTTGCAAACAGGACAACAAGAAACAGAGAGAGAATTAGAGAGTGCTCTTGATGTAGCAAAACAGTTGGATAAACAAACACTGGAGGAGAAGGAAAAAGATGATGATGAAGAAGGCAAGTGTAACATTGTTTTTCTAACATCTAAAATGAAAGTCTATGAAGTGCTTGAAATTGTACTTTCTACAGCTGTCTAGTTTTTCCAGTTTAAGTAATTTTTTTCATCCAAGATGCCACTGTATATTTGCAGCATCTTTTTTTCATATTCAGTAATTTGCTAACTGGGTTATTAGCCTCATTATGTCACTTGAGCAAGAGATTAAATTTCAGACAGACACATTATGCCAGCTGATAGCAAAAGTTGTAGTTGGTTTTCATCCTTATGGATTTATACCACAAAGGAGATCTTTTAGTCTGATATAGAACAAATAATATAAGGGAATGCTGGAGGAAGAGTCTGAGGAGATGTATAATAAATAAAATACACTATTATAAAACGTGTATTTCTAGTCACTGAGGAAAATTCTACCTGTAATCCTAGTTCTTGCACTGAAACCTAACTAAAGAAATATAAAACACATTGCAATAGAGCAACAAAGAGTCCTGTGACACCTTATTGACTAACAGATGTATTGGAGAATACGCATGCGTCTGACAAAGTGGGTATTCACCCACGAAAGCTTATGCTCCAATACATCTGTTAGTCTGTAAGGTGCTGCAGGACTCTTTGTTGCTTTTTACAGATCCAGTCTAACACGGCTACCCCTCTGATATTGCAATACAGGTACACTACTTTTTATTGCTGCCAATATGGATTCTAAACAAGTAGTTTGTGAATCATTTTTTGTTTCTAATCTGAATTTAAACATATCTTATGTTATAAACATATTACATGATTGAAAACCAAATAGAATTAACCTGTTCAGTAAATTAATTGTTCGGTGTAATAAAACCACTCATTTAGCACCTGTCTGCTGAATTAGCATTTAAAATAGGCTCAACATCCTAAAGTGATCATTTTAAAATTTATCTCTTGGCAAACTACCTCTGGAGCTTTAGATTTCAGAACATACACCTCTACCCCGATATAACGCTGTCCTCGGGAGCCAAAAGATCTTACCGTGTTATAGGTGAAACCGCATTATATCGAACTTGCTTTGATCCGCCAGAGGGCACAGCCCGGCCCCCCCGGAGCACTGCTTTACCGGCTTATATCCTAATTCGTGTTATATTGGGTCGCATTATATCAGGGTAGAGGTGTATTAAATAGGATGTTAGTATCCAGAAACACTTCAGTAGAAAGAAGAAGAAAATTGCATTAATGCATATAGCGCTAGACAATAACCTTTGAGTGTATGTACAGTATCCAAGTCAATTTAATTGCTGTTTGTAGTACTATATATTCTGATAAAACTGGATTTCTTTAGGTGATATGGGGTAAAGGGATATTAATGTTAATATAATATGTACATTGTTACTATGATTGTTGTTGAGTCAGAATTCAGTGAGAATAATAGTGAATGCTTCATAGTGAAAGGAATTCCTTGGTGGGAGCGGGGGAGGGAATTAGAATCCTTGGATATTTTATCTCATGGAGAGTGTTCTTATTCATAGATCAATTAGTACATTGCATTTCATTCTGCTCTGTCTTTTTTACAGTGTAGTTATCAATATTTAAATAAATCTAAAATTAAGTGGTATTGTCACTGAAATAATGCTCTCCCTATCTTCCGTCCAAATTACTTGTAAATTCTTTTACAATATGCACAAGTTAAATATCAGAATTTTTAATTTTTTGATTGCCTTTCGTGTTTTTTGCTTGACTCATTCTCTTAACACCACTTGAAATCTGAATAATTGTGGGAAATAGAGGCTGTGCCTGAAATCTGTTCCTGTTTGTTTTTCTTAAAAAAAACTCAATTTTTTGGCCATCTCCACAATTGGGTAACCCTAACACTGCCCATTGGATGGGAAGAAGTGTTCAGAAAGTATTCACTATGGTTCTGCTGCATTACTGAATTGGGCTGGCAGCTTAGCTCATATGAGATAATGGAAAGTATAGTTACTGTGTTTCTGAGAAACAGATTGCATTTCAAGTATGGTCATGGCATATAAGGGCTTGTTTCAATTCCTTGTAAATTCTTATGGTGCTAGCCTGGTGAAAAATTTCTCTTTATTACTGGGTAAGCAACCTGGAACAGAAAATAACATTAGTTGGAAACAGTAGTTATGGATCTGGCAGCAGAGTAAGTTGGCAGCAATTTTCAAAGGCATGGCAGTGTAGGCCCAGTTAGTTTGGGTTACTGATTGGCAGATTCTCTTGCGAGTGACATATGTTAAGACCATGGGAAGTGAATAACAGTAGCTACCGACGTCTTGAATGTTTCCAGTGTCTGCAGTGGTTAGCATAGGGACCTGGAAGGTACCCTGACTCTGTGAGTTCGTGAAGTATATGCCAAGACTACTACTTTTTCTGATGCAGTGTTAATGGATTAAACACAGTTCAAGGTCAAGATCCATGTGACACAGTTATTGTGATTGAAAGAAATAAGTACAGGCTATTAGGTGAGATTGACCACCTAAATACATTTTTGATTGAGAACCTGGCAGGACAGATTAGAAAGCAGAAACAACAAGGTGTTTGTACCTACAAGACATCCTTAAAGATTATAAAACGAGATACTTAAGGCTGAAACTTGACTTTCTTTTACACACTGGGTTTTAATTAAGTACTAAAATCTACACCCACTGCAGGACTGCAACAATCTAAAAATCACCAATCTACTTAATAACTCAGATTACATTGACCATTTTACATAAGTAAAATGACCAGATTACATAAGTCATTTGCCATTTGAAAGGCATGGAGATCTAGTGATTCCAATTTTTGTGCAGGGAATGCCCTGTCAATTTTTATAGATGAGCAAATACAGGGTTCTGAGTAAATATGATGAAAATAGCAACACTTTATATTGGAAGAAATTGAGACAACTTCTGGAATCAGTTTTTGTAACTAAAACAGGAGAGTTGGGTGGGTAGTTTTTGGATCTAGAAGGTGTAGGCAGATAGATGTGCAGAGTAATTAGCACTTCAGCTAAATGTATTGTACAATGTTTTATAATCTTTGCACATATGGAGTAGGTAAACATTATTAGATGTAGCCCCATCATGTTAAGTAAATATTATTTTTGGATAGAATCAAACCATGCTATAATCACACTCAGGCTGTTGTTTCTTGCTGCTTTGATGCCATGTGCTCCTCTCTCTTCAAGCTCTGAAAATTTGTAGGAAGGAGTACCATAAATATTGGTCCCTCCCCTGGGTTACCTGTCATTTATATCTTCTGCACTACTTATGTGGTGAGCTCCACATTGACCTCTGTGAGTTCCATCATCACCATTTTTCTTTTCCTTTTTCTTTTTCTGGTAAAGGAAAGTATCAGTTCTCTAAAGTGGTAGTCACTTCTTTCCAGCTGTATTATCTAATATTCTTTCTAACCCCTTTTCCCCAGAGGTCACATGTTAGCTAGATTCAGAAAATGGGATTTGGGATGGAAAATGCTCCGTTTCTAACAAATTCCTCATAGGCTTTCTTTTTTCATTGACTAACTTCTGAAATATGCCGCCAACATAAAGGAACTATTCAGAGATATG